TAAATTTTTTACTGCAATTTTATAAAATTGAAAATATTTCAAAAACCGTAAGGTTTAAGTGTGATAAACCTTAATCAAATTTACCTTTATATCAATCGTAGAATCCAAAAATAGAATAATATACAGGGTGTTCCATTTAAAAAAATACAACTATAATATTTTTTACTTATTTGGCACACTCTGTATCTTGTAAAAATATTTTTAAATTGTAGCTCTAATAGACCTTCAACGAACCCAAAACTTACAATTTGTAAAAATCTAATCGTTTAGCTACAATACTCCGTGTCGTATGTGGTGAACAGCCCTGTATATATTAAACCATTTGCTACGTTCTTAGATTTTAAGTCCCAAACATCGCTCCTGAGGTTTTGTCCCACTAGAATTACCATCCCCCGCACTGTGCGGCGCGCCTTGGCGCGTCTTGGCGCGGCGCTCCATGCGCCTGGAGCGTGGATCGGCGCTCCACACGCCATGTAATGGCACTTTTACCGGTACATATTTTACTAATGGGTCTATATGGAAGTGGTCAGAATTAAAATGGGTTAAGTCCAATTTCCTACCATTTTAAGATCATCGTTTTTATACGATTTAGAAATATTGTTCTATGCAGTTTAAAAATGAATCAAGTCAAACTTCCCGCATTAAGCAGCAATAGCCCGTTTCTGTTTGGTTTCTGAATATTCTGTTGATTCCTGGATCAAGTCCATAAAATTTAAGGCTGTGTGCGATTTTAACACAGGAACTAAAGTTTAGGGCTAATTTGTTTGATAAAATGGATGACAATCAAACAAAGTCTGAACAATTTGCTCCATGTGAATCATATCAGCCATCTGAAAGGTCTGATTCTATCGATTCTGAAAGTATAGTTTGATTTATGATTATTTTTACTATTACTACATCAGTAATTTTGGGCTGTTCTTCTTACAAATACATATATATCTGACATGTTGTTGATCTGAATAAAACTGCACGAGGAAGAAAAATCTTATCATTTCATATAGACGTAACGTGACAAACTTTAAAGGGAACACATGAAAGATCTTCTTCCCTTTGTCCCGCCTATATACCATAATTTTTATAAAAATCGAATAATGTGAAGTCAACAAATCCCTTAATGATGAAGGAGAATGTACCCATGAACCAATTTAAATCTAAAATTTCAAATATTTTAAGAGACAAAATGGATCAAGTCCAAAAAAATATAAATAAACATTCTTAAAAATGACCCCAGTTGTATTTTATGTACTATACTTTGCAATTATACAATTTAAAAAATAATAAAGCATTGTTTCAAGTTTTCTTCTCCATCTTGTTTTATTTAAATTATAAGTAACATAAAAACTCTCATTTTCTCCATAATTATTTTCTAGGACTTGATCCAGTTCACTTCTGAACCCCTCATTATAACCTAACCTTATAATTTTATGTTAAACCTAGCAATGTTAAACGTACCTGGGTATATCCTCTGGAAATCCAAAAAAAAAACTAAAACTACAATTGTGCGAATTGTTTCTGCATTTTACTATAAACACAGCAACTTAACTTCGCCTTCTTTGCATTATAACAAGTTATGCCCCCCAACGAAAAGAATACACACTTTATTATTATAATAATAATTATAATCACGGTACGGTGCAATTTCAAATCACGAACTAATATGAAAACCGACACCTACATTTATTTATTTTCGGTAAACTCTGATTATATAATACATATTTGTTTATTGTTTTTTACTGGTAAGAGCGTTACTAATACGAAAATGTATACACGTACAATTATATCCTTTAATTTTTAGTATAAAGTAAAATATATTTTTTTTTCAATTAGTATACCGGGTGCGTCTCAAAAATGGCTCACCCCTATAACTTTTTTATTTTTTCAGATAAAAAACGAGATTTGGTATGTTAGAATATGATATAAATTAGGATTGATTGACGTATTCAATTGTTTTTGGTCACTTCCTGTTTCACCGGAAATGACTACAACTTTTGGTTTTTAAATGGCACCTTCGGTAAGAGTTTTTGTGGAAGCGTATAATTTGAGATTTCCATGCTATTATTATTATTTATTTTTAAACATGTTTTAAAATGTTCTGGTAATCGGTTTCTAAGACATTGTTTATGCATTGTTAAATGACAAAGTGTCAGATTCAAACGTCGCCGTATTTCCTACAAAGTTTTGTGAAAAAATGAGTGATAATGACAAGTCTTTGGATATTCAACAAGCTGCTGAAACTGCGCTATCCACGTTAGTGTCCGAGAAGTCGAAAAACTTATACGAGACACAACTACAACAACTTTTAAACCTGGGTCGAAATAAAACATGTTGAGAATTTCACAGAAAAGATATTGCTAGACTATTTCCTGAAGTTATCCACTACCTGAAAGCCGACAACTCTGTGGAGTAAATATTCGATGCTCCGCATCATGATTTACCTGCACAGAAACGTAGATATTAGCCAATTCACAACCCTTATTGCATTTTTAAAAAGAAAAGCTTCCAATATCAGGCAAAGAAATCAAAAGTATTTACAAAACTGGAAATAGAACGCTTTATGAAAGAAGGCGATAACAAAGAATTCTTGTTAGCTAAAGTTATCTTAATCGTTGGAGTATTTGGAGCATGTAGGAGGGAAGAAATCATATTTTTGACCGTAGATCATAGATAAACAAATAAAAAGAGACTGGCAAATTAAATGGCAAAGAGAGGGACAACGTTCCCGTAGCGCAACTCAGAACGCAAAATTTCGTTCTATTTATGTTGATCTGCGCATTGCGTCTATTGGGCCCACTATCTCATTCTAATATAAAAAGAGAGAAAGAAGCAGCCATATAAAACGTAATTTCTAAATAGAAATTAGAACAATCGCCTTTCGTTTTCGTCATCATGACAACCAAGATGACAACATCATGACAATTCGTCATGTTTGTTAATTTTTCTTTTGGTGATTTACCTTTTTTTTCTAAACTCTCCATTTTATTGACTTATGAATATGGATAGGGAACAAATTCCTTTGGTCCATATAGGTATTTATATTTTGTTACTTATAATTTTAGGTTATACTATTTGTTATTTTATTTGCTGCAGGAGCCAGGATCATCTATTTTTATATGTATTGGTGCCCCCTTTCTCTGATAGATATGTTAAAGACACCCAGTAAAATAAAAGTAAGTAGTTATATTTATCATCTTATTAAGAAAAAAGTAGAAGTAGTAGTGTCAAAAATATTTCGAACCTCTCTTAACATAACAAATTAATACAATTATTTTTTTTCATTTTTTGGGTAGGTAGTTTATAGCTGGTTTATAGTAACCAGAAACTTTATTAATATACCTATTTTACTTTTGTTTTAGGATTAAAACTGGACTTGAAAATGGTTCAGGATCATGATTCTCGTAAAGTCTTCTTTGTTTGGATATTCACTTTGTTATTGCAGTTTTTTCGAAAGTGAGATTTTTAATGCCCTTTAAAAAAATTGGCCGATCGTTTCCTGCAACAGTCAGTTCTTCTGCATTTAAAATTGGTAGGTGGATGGAATAAACACTGTTATGTTTTGTTATTATATTATAAAAAAGTTTATTTATTTTTATGTATAAATATATATGTTTATAAAACAGTACAATTTTTGCTTTTCTATAATTTCCCTTATAATAGTAGTATTCTTTCGTTCTGAAAGAAACTGCAAATTTTCACTTAAACTGATTTATTCCCTACACCACGTTCCCTTTACGTGGTATGGGGAATAAATCAGTTTAAGTGAAAATTTTCAGTTTCAGAATGAAAGAATACTACTAATAATGGCTAATTTAAATTTCCCGCCAGCCAGAATGTGCGATAATGCCTTACGATACGTTTTATACATATCTCTTTCTTTTTGATATAAAGCACACATAATAAAGAAAGATAGCAATAAAGACGTACGTCCTGCCATGGTCCTGCTAATTGGTTTCAAAATTGTTATTCTGAGTTGCGCTACGGGAACGCGGTCCCACTCTTTACTATGAGATTTGTCAGTCTCTTTTTATTTGTTTGTCTATGCCGTAGATGCCACTAAAGATTGTCAGTCATTTATTAGTGTGAATAACGATTACTAAGGGACCGTTAACGATTACTAAGGGACCAATAGATGGTATCAATTTCTTACATGTATTTTGTAAGTACGCAAAACTTCGACCACTCAATGAGACTCAATGTATCGAAAAAATCAATGCTGTACCTTGCCAGTTGGAAACAATACAATTGGGGGTATGCCAAAAAAGATAGCGGAATTTCTTGGACTCCCCAACGCCATTGAATACGCTGTTCATTGTTTCCGGCGCAGCTCTGCAACAATGCTGGGAGATTCAGGAGCGGACATAACAGTTTTAAAGCGACATGGAGGATGGGGATCGAGCTCGGTTGCTGAAGGTTACATTGAAAATTCAATTAAACAGATAACAAAAACAGCAAAAAAAAATCATGAGACAGAAAGGTACGCCAAATAAGAAATTAGAAGCAGTTCACGTAGAAGCAGAAGCTATCAGCATTGCCAGTACAAGAAATTTACTTATTCCGACTCCTACAACTTGCATTTCTCTTAGAGATGAAAAGTTGGATGCCTCTTGTATTCACTTTAATAATTTAAATAATTGTACTTTAAGATTTATAATATATAAATATTTTCGTTGTTCCTAACGGTTCTTTTATTACTTTTAGGCACTAGTGCCTAAACTAGTGTCACTTTTAGGTACTAGTGCCTAAAAGATTGTCATTTCGAATCTCAAATAAATATCAAAAACTGTCAGTTTCGAAACGCTTTCACAAAAAATATTATTTATCTCGAAATAATGATTTTGGCACTTAGAACATTATTTTACTTGAAATCTTCAAATACTACGTCAACACATTTATGAATCAGACAGCCTGTATATTATTTCTCCGGTCTGTACGGTATATTATCTCAGTTATCTGTTCCATTTGAGATCGGCATATTTTAATATTTTGGCCTTGACTGAGGTTACATAGCATAATGAAATGTGCGTTTTGTTTGTTTAGTTTTGTAGTAGCATCCGATCCGTGAACCTTAAACCATATGTTTTTGTTGCCGGTAGTAGTATTATGCATTTAAATGTCTACTACAGTTTATTGCTCTTTACACTTGGCCTAGTTGAAACCTGTGAAAGTTATAACATTCTAGTAATATTTGGTCATCCGGGTAAAAGTCATTACGATGTGTTCAAGCCCTTGTTTCAAGAGTTGGGTGAACGAGGACATCACATAACCATTATTAGTCATGTGGCAACAAAAGGTAGGTGATCTATACAGGGTGACAATTTGAAAGCGAACAGTATTTAATATTACCTCTACCGATGATAGTATGAAAATTTGGCGAAACACGTCAATTTACATATCAAGGGGTACAATTTTTGAAGCATTTGTTGTCGTGTTACTTTCAACCCTTTGACCCCCAGGGCACCTACCCCTAAAATTTTAAATGGCAACCCCTATTTCTTCTACCTTTTTATGTTCCTTATAAAATTCTCAAAAAAATAATGCAGTTTATGTAGAATTCTATAAGAAAAACAAAAATGGTAAAAGAAATAGGGGTTGCCATTTAAAATTTTAAGGGTAGGTGCCCTGGGGGTCAAGGGAATGAAAGTAACACAACAAATGTCTCAAAAATTGTCCCCCTTGATATGTAAATTGCCGTGTTTCGCCAAATTTTCATACTATCATCGGTAGAGGCAATATTAAATACTGTTCGTTTTCAAATTGTCACCCTGTATAAGATTATAATTAAATCTATAATATAGTTCAATCAAATAAACTTTTAGTCACTAATTAAGCTTGAGCGGCACAGCGTTGCCCACTTTTGCATATTTTCTTGTAATCAAAATATTTTAAATAACAAAAATAAATTAATTAGAGATATATAAACAGTTATTATTTACTTCAACAAAACTCACCCCTTTAACATCACTTAGGGGACATAAAGCGCCATTACTACCGCTTTCCCGTTCAAAATATTCTAATAAGGTTGCGATGAGTTTTTTATATAAGCTATCTTGCACAGGGTGGGTCAAATTCGACGCTTTTAAATGGAAACACCCTTTTCTATAGGAGATAGACAAAAACTGATATCGGTATCTGGAGCTCAACTTTTGTCAAAAACATGATGGTGAAAACCGCATATCGATATCTATTACAGTTTCGGAGTAAAGGGATGTTTTTCAAAAATATGCATTTTTAACAAATCGCTGTAACTTTTAACATTGAAAATGTTTCTGTTATCCTATATAATGGAGCCCAAATCGAATTAAAATGCTACATTTGCAACACCATGACGTCATATATACAAGGGTATAGGAAATCTCGGCGCGGCGGCGGCAGTCGGCCAGCGCGCGCAAAAACCATTACATCGCTATTGTTTATTGATATATCTTTATTAGTTTAAAAGCAAAAAATATGGGGTTTGCTTTGATACCTTGTCAAGACATGAGCGAAACTTTTAAATTGTTTCTTTTTTTCATTTAGGCCTTCGTTTTTCGTTAAATGAAAGTTATATTAAAAAAAAATCTCTATTTTTAAACCAAATTTTCGCATGATTGAAATGATTATTCATGTTTAAAGTTTTTTTTTGGTCATAAGCGCTAATGGAAATGTTTTTTTGTAAATAATTATAAAAAATTACTCCCTACGAAGACTTTATTCTGTACTGGATCAAAAAATAAGTATTTGTTTTCTCTATACGGTGGTATTAATATATCGATTTTTGATGATAGTGCCTTTTTACCCTGTTTAATTTTGTACTACTTTCGGAATAAGGGTCCCCATATCATGTACTGTGATGTACTGTACTTCCATCCCTGAAAAATTCAGCTTGTGACACCGAAGTGAGAGGTAACGTCAAAATAAGCTTTAATCTACCTACATCATCATAGGTAGGTGTAGGTACTCTAGGTAAATTCTACCTAGACAGTAGCTGAACTAGCTGACAGTAGTAATTAATTTGTTATCCGATAAGTAGTTGTCATTATATAAGTTTAATCGTCTTATACCTCCTATAACGGTAGGTTTTGGATTTTTCCTGATTGGTTTGTTAAACAAAAATATACTGGGCATATAAATGTCTGTTACAGGTTAATTCGTTAAAGAAATATGTTACACACATATTATTTTAATAATAATAGTATAATAGTAATGGCTATATTATGTTATAACACATTATTGAATTAACAATTGAAAACAGTATTGAATGTACTTATTTTAACCAATGCATTGTTTTGTTTTTTTAATCTCACAAATAAGAAATATTTTATAGTTTTTATTATAAAAAACAGTGATTATACAATTTATTTACACCCCTTACACTGTTTTCTGTAAGGGGTGTAACCAGGAGTATATTTCGTAACCTTTTACGATATAAGAGGGCACAAAGTGTTTTATTACTTAATGCTTAAAATTTAATAATATATTTGTACATAAAATAAAATAGACTAGAAAGTCAATTAATTAATATTGACGTAATTACTAAATAAGTACAAGATTTTTTTTCTAATTATTTTAGTGTATTTTTAGTCACCGAATTATAAAGGAGAGATATCCAACCATTGCATTATTTTACTCACAAATAAATGTTTTATGGTTTTTATTATAAAACAACGATTAATTTATTATACACCCCTTAACCCAAACACTCCAAGGAGGATATTTCGTGACCCCGTATTTAAAGTGGACAAGGTTTATTAGTCAATGTTTTAATTACCCAGCGTCTTTAATAAAAATCTAATGTAATTTTTCATAGAAATGATCTGACATGAAAAGCAAATTTTATCAAAAAACTTTTTGATTATCTACAAGGAGTAAACCGCTGACAAATGTCTGTATACTAATGCCAAAGTAATGCCAAAAATACAATTAAATACCAAAATTTCTCATATAATGCCCCACTAATGCCAAGCTGATTCCAATATAATACCACTAATACCACGAATAATATGTAACACATTTGTTTCACGAATTAACCTGTAACAATACTGGTAGGTACGTGCACAGATTTTTTCCTAGGTAACTTAAAAGTCGTTAAAAAGTCTAATTATATTTAAAGAAGATATAATTCCAACAAATTACATTATAAGGCCAATAATGCACAAGTAATACCATTAAAATTTTAGCGTTTTTAACTTGTGTAACATATTTCTTTAACGAATTAACCTGTAACAATAGTGGTAGGTACGCGCACAGATTTTTTCGCTAGGTAACTTATTAAGTCGTTAAACAGGCCTATAAAAGCTATAACAACATAGGTAACTAATATTTATAATTTAATTCGAGTTTTAATCTCAAATAATAAATGTTTTTACTGGTGTATTTCTGAAGTGTTCATTATTAAAAGTAGATATTCTTCAAGTTATGCGAAGTAATAAGTAATGTTTCCGGTGAGACCGCGTATATGTCACCGGATTCTGGTTAGTATAAAGACTTTTTCTATAGAAAGAGTTTTTTCTATATTTTCCTTTCAAAATAAGACTAATTTCTTCTTATTCTTTTAAATATTACAGTGTTTCTTTTTCCTAAAATGTTATACTTAATTTTCGCTTAAAATTAAAAAATCACAAATGGAGGAAAATATACGTTATTGAATAAAGTTTATACAAATCACTTTACCATAACAAAAAAGTAAAAACATGTCATGGCGGAAGATATTCAGGTGGCATTTCACACATTTATCTATTAAAATCGAGATTAAAATAATAAACTTGCGTAACATGTTATACACGAGATAGAAAGTTTCAGAATCGATTAATACGCAATACGCTACGCAGTCAACTTATTCCTATGCGCGGATGAGCGTCTTCAAGACTCTTCCTTCGGCCAGGGTCACGACGCCGCCGAAGAGGAATCGGCCTACGTTTGGCTAAACAGGCTGGACACGGTGGAGTACGATATTGGCGAGTCTGAATATTTATAAAAATTTGCAAAGTAAAATATGTTGGAAAAATAATTAGTCCATACATATATAAAAGCTCAAAGGGTTTTTTTGTTGCATCCATCCCGCCGAAAGCGCTTTACCAATCTTGATGATTCTTTTTTTAAATGAAAGGTATATATGTGTAGATTTGTTATGAAGTATTTTTATAGTGCTTAATGGCTATTTCTTTGTGTAAAACGACTAAATACTAAAACATACCTGAAAACACCTACACACAATACCTCCAGAAATAAATTAGTTGTCATTGTCAGTGGTGTGTCAGTTAGATTATATATTACGTTTTTAGATATTTTAGAGTGAGTTGATGCCGCCAGCTTTAGATACATAAATATTAGCACAAAGGTTCGTTTAAACGACATTAGTGAATTAGCTACACAAAGCGATTTTAGGAAATTCATCCTCTTAGAGAGTAAAATTATCTCGGAACAGTTTGTTGTATGAAAATTCCTTACTATTTCGTCTAGAAGAATGAAATCCTACAAAAAGAATTAGAAGAAATTTTTGAAATTCATCAACCAAATGGGTAAAGTTAGTAAAAATTTATATAAAACTTGGTGACGTCTGGATTATACACATAAAAATTGGCACAAAGGTAAAGCGAATTTATGAAATTTATACCCTTAGGGAGTAAAATAGGGAATGAAAGTTTGCTGTACGAAAATGCAATACTATAACATTATAAACCAGACAGTATAAAATTTTATACAAGGGTTTATTTAGTGACATCATAAGGAAATATATCTTCCTCAATTATCCTTCAAAGAATAAAAAATAACCTATAAAGAGAGTATTAGTGCTCTTAATAAATAAAAAAAAGATGAAAAATAAAAAACATCTATATGTTCACTAGCTCTCTATAAAGAAGTAAAAAATCATTTAAATCAATGCATAAACGATTCGAGGTGTAACGCGAACGTAGTTGCGAGAAAAAGCTAGTAATTTATTAAATTATTTTATTTAACTCATTAATTTTCATTGAAAAGGAATTTTTGTAATTCGCCACTATATTAGTTAAAAACTAAGAAACTCATATCAAATTTAAGTTTTGCGATTTTGACTTATACTTTTTATAAAATCTGAACACATTTTAAAAGAAAAAAAGTTTTTGATAATATTTGTGTAGATTGACTACAAGTTGTATAACATAAATTTCTACGACCGGTCTACCTAGTAGTCTGCAGCATCGCCTTTGGTGCAAACGTGGGCCTGTTAATCTGTGACGTGACGCACAACAGCCAAGAAAAACAGAAGCGTGGCTAAGAATTTAGTAATTAAAAAAAAAGTCTTTTAGATACAGTAGTAGGTATTAAAAAGTT